AATTTTTAGTTTTGAGAAATAATTTTTTAAAATGACAAACTAAACACGGTTTTAAAAATCTTAACAGACACTCAATAACAAAATAAGTAAAAGATCAACTCAAAATTCAAAATTGAAAATTGAAACACAAACCAAATAGGCCCTTAGCTATTTGAACCAAACACAACGTACATTAGCACACTCACCTAGAAAAATAATATGCTCCAAATAATAAATATTAAAATTTGGAAAAGTAATTTCATACTTCAATTTCTTTTATTGATGAACGAATGAAACGAGAAAAAAGCAAACTCTTAATGGTATCCTTGACCTTGAATGTATTGTTTCGACTGGAATTGATTAAAGCCTTGTCTGAAAATCATTATTTTCGAACTTTTTTTTACATACTTATTTTCAGCCATATATTTATACAATAAAATATTCTGCACTTAAACACGAAACTTTTTTCTATTTTTCAATCACACATTCTCCTAAAAATCAATATTCAAAACTTTATTTTCCCCAAATAATGGTTGTTAAATAGGGACCAAATGTTATTGATCTGTATACATTTCATATTCACTCGTTAGTAATTGATGAATCTGTTTGATATAGAATTTTTTGAGATAAATTTTAAGAAAAGTGATGTTTTTGGATAATGCGCCGATAAACCATAGGAAAATTATGGATCTATAAATACAAAATTATTTTATTAAAAAATGTTGTTGAAAATGAGTGTAAAAAAAATAAAAAAATACATATTCTCAGTTTGAATATGAGATTCATAAGTGAGCCAAAGAGGAAAGAGAAAAACTAAATACGTTTCACGCACAAGCAAAGAGTGGTCTTGAAAGTGCAAACTTAGCACCGTTTATGTCACAATATATGACATTAAATGGTAATTTCAATTTAATGTAAAAATATGAGATCAATTTAATTAAAATTATACTCCCTCTTTTCCAATTATATAAAATGAGTTTTCTTTCTCTTATCCCAAATAAGCCTGGGCAAAAAGATCGAAAAACCGACCAAACCAATCAAACTGAACCGATTCGAGTCAATTCAGGTTGATTCGATGCAAGTAATTAGTTTGGTTTGGTTTTTTTAAACAAAACAATGGTGGTTTGGTTCAATCATGGTTTAAAGTCTTAAACTGTTGGTTAATCGAACCAACCCAACCCATTTATATATTCACCTTTTTTTTATTTGATTTACGAAAAATAAAAACCAAAAGATAAACTTTAATATCATAATTATATCTCAATTCCCTCCAATATATGGTGTTGCCGGTAAGTAATAGCACTAAAAACTTTCTTTCACATGCTTATTATGTTATACTTAGCATTTTTTTCCATATTCAAGCAGTCATATTATATAATATTAAAAAAAATTAAGTTTTCTGTTGATCCATCTCTATTAGTCTGATTTTATTTATTAATCAATAATTCTTATAATATAAAATTATTTGATTATTTTAGTTCTTGCAATCTAAGTGTGCCCAAAATTCAGACAATATATTTTTAAAAAAATTAATTTGGACTAAAAGTCCAAACTGAACCAATTCAAAACCAAACCAATCTCATTTGGTTTGGTTTGGTTCGGTTTAAAAGTTAGAGTGGGTTGGTTTGACTTGAAATTTGCTCAAACCGACTAATTAGGTTTTGGTTTTGGTTTTGGGTTGGAGTCGAAACCGACCAAACCAAACTGCGCCCAAGCCTAGTCCCAAATATATAGGTCTGTTTCTTAAATTAGAAATTTTTTTTTTGTTCTTTTACCAATATACCCTTATTCAATTTTCCCACTTAATATGCCAACTTCTTGAAATCATCCAAATACATACATTTCTCACTTCTTGAAAACATGAAACAATTCTCATTTTTTTCTTCTTCAAATTAAATCATTCAATTTTTTTACTAATTCCAACAATAATTTACTACTACATACTGAAAATTAAATAGAGGTAAACTAGGAAAGATTTTGATAAAAATTAATTTTTCAATGACATTAAAGAAGATTTCTTAACCCGTGTGAAAAAGAAACAAGTCTATATAATTGGAATGGAATGAGTATTTAATATCATGTAGATTAACGTTAAACATTAATAACATAATATTACTCTTTTCAAACGTCCAATGTAAGTGATGTATCTTAAAGTTCAAAGAGGAGTGCTACTTATCACTAAATAATTGGTTTTAGTAACTATTTATGTTAATTGAAGCACTAAAGTTTTACACGAGAATAGGTTCAAACGTTCTCGCCTTAGTTGTAGAATAATCTATTTCTCGAAATCATGATAAATGTTCAAATGGAAAGCTCGATAATTCTTCCTGTCTCCTGTTCAAGTCCTAACACTCTTAGGTGTGGTAGATTGACTACCTTCGAGTCATGATCATGGTCGAGTTCATTAGGATTGATGCTCCATTTATTTTCTATATAGTATCACTATATGTTATCAAGCGCGGAGCCAGCACCCAACGAGGGGGCACGACCGCGTGTGTCGGCTCTGTCGGAATCTGCAAAGCGGCCGGGTCAGTGCCTCAGTGGTTGCCCACTCGCCTAGGGAAGAAAAAGGAAGATGAAAGCCCCCTTTTTTTTTGGGTTTGAGCTTCAGCTTCAGCAGTAAATATTAAATTTTGGGGGTTTGAGCCTCTTATTATTTAGCCCAAATGTCAAATGAATTTATCCAATATATCAACCCATAATACCTATTTCATTTCAATCGTGGGCAGCAAGAATTGTGAATTTCCCCCAAATGCCAAACCCTTTTCCTCGAGTCGACCTCACTTCTTCTTTCTCCAAATCCACACCACACGACCTAGGCTAGCTCCAGACTCCAGGAGGCAGACTGCAGACAGTATACTCCATCAAAGAACATGTCGTTCTGCTGGCAGCTGCAATGAACGCCGAAGTACCAAACGTCGAAGTGTTAAACGCCTGAACAGACAATGAACTCCATTAGACTGGTGACTCTTTCTTTCCCTCTTTATTTTATTTTATTTTTGTTTTGGTTTTGTTCTATTTTGTTTTAGCTATTTCGATTTTGTTCGATTTTGTTTTGCCCCTGCTACTGTACTGCCTACGGTGACTGTGAGTCTTCCTATTTTGTTTTTATTTTGTTCTATCTTGGAGTTGTTGATGTTGAGCATTGAATAATTTAATATTAATTATGTTATGATTTATTCATTTGGAAATTTATGTTTGCGAATTGTGATTTATAAATTATGATAAGTAATTTATGTTTTATCATGATGAGTTATGATTATTGATTTGGAAATTTATGTTTACGAAATTGTATTTGCGAACTGTGCTTTGTGATAAGTAATTTATGTTTTAATGAGGAATGAATAATGATTTGGGAATTTTCATTTAGGAAATTAGGATAAGTAATTTATGTTTAATTGAAAAGATGTTGGCCACTCAATTCAACCCATGTGTTGGTTATTTTTTTAATCAATTGTAATTGAAAAATAAATTGGGACATTTTGCAGATTATAGAACTATTTTTTCAACCAAAACGAAAGTCCATACCCAATTCTTCTACTTCTAGTTGTGCATCTAGTCCCGCCATTGATTCTAGTCGAGCACAAGAGTTATTGAAAAACACAAAGAAGCCCCGGGTTCAATTTAATGTGGATGATCTTGTATCTGATCTAGGGATACGCCTCCTTATCGAGTCATATGATCCTAATATCAGAGATGATGTTAGGTTGGCATACTTGGAGAAGGGTCCTTGTCAACTATATAGACATGATATTTCAAGAAGACGGATGGGGAATGCTAATAGATGTTTTCGAAAAGAATGGTTATCCGAATTTTATTGGTTGGAATATAGTATAAAAAAGGATGCGACGTACTGTTTGCATTGCAACTTTTCAAACCCGATAGAGGGGGTCAAGGGGTGGCCATATATTTACTAAAACCGATTTTAGGGATTGGAAGCACAAAAAGACATTCAAAGATCATGTAGGTCTCTTTGATAGTGCTCATAATCAAGCTTTTGCAAAGTGTACCAACTTGATGAATCAAAAGTAAAGTATCTCCTATATTATTTCTAGCCAAAGTAGTAGTCAACAACAAAGTAATAGTACCAGGATGACTACGGTGCTAGATTGTACAAGACTCCTCTTGATGCAAGGATTGTCATTTCATGGTCATGATGAATCGAAAGAGTCTACTAATAAAGAAAATCTAATTGAGTTACTGAACTAGTATGCAGCTCGTTGTAAGGAAATTAAAGAAGTATTATTTAGTAAAGCTCCTGGAAATGACAAATGACTTCACCAACCATCCAAAAAGATTTGATTAATTGTTGTGCCGTAGAGACGATGAGGGTTATTATCAATGAGATAGGTGATTCTTTGTTTTCAATTTTGATTGATGAGACTCGTGATAATTCTATGAAAGAACAAATGACAGTTGTTTTGAGGTTTGTTGACAAAAGTCGGCAAGTGAAGTAGCGTTTTTTGGGTATGTCCCATGTCACTAATACTTGTGCCCAATCACTAAAAGATGTCATTGATGCAATGTTTTCTACACATGGGTTGAGCATATCTAGCCTGAGAGGTCAAGGCTATGATGGAGCAAGTAATATGTAAGGTGAGTTTAATGGGTTGAAAGCTTTAATTCTAAAAGAGAACCCACATATTATGTACGTTCATTGCTTTGCTCACAAGCTTCAGTTGGCAATTGTATCTGTGGCATGTAGGAATTGTATGCTTGGTGATTTTTTCGACATACTTGCTATTATTGTGAATTTGGTTGGTACATCATGTAAGCGTGTAGATGCTCTTCGAACAAGTTATCAAGCTAATATTCTGGAGAAGCTTAATATTGGGGAACTTACTGGTAGAAGTGGTCAATTTCAAGAAATGAGTTTGGCACGCCCAGGTGATACTAGGTGGGGCTCACATCTATTGACAATTACTCGTTTCATTAATATGTTTCATGCTATCATAGATGTTCTTGAAAATATATCAGAAGATGGCGTACATTCAGATAAAAAATCTTCAACCGTAAGATAGATGAACGCTATGCAAGATTTTGAGTCTGTGTTCAGTCTTCACTTTATGTTTGAAATTCTTGCAGTTACAGACGACCTTTCACAAGTTTTACAGAAAAAGGATCAGGTTATTCAAAATGCTATGAGGTTATTGAATTTGTGTAAGTGTGCATTGCTGAACCTGAGAGAGAAAGGTTGGGATACTTTGTTGAGTAAGGTGATTGAGTTTTGTGTTGATAGACATAATTTAGTGCCCAATATGGAGGATATTATAGTAGTGAACGGTCGACCTAGATGTGTAGCTCAGCGGTGACTTATTTTCATTGCTTTTATGTTGATTTGTATTGTCATGTGATAGACTCAATCTTGCAAGAGTTGAATGATCGTTTTTCAGAAACAACTATTGAGCTCTTTACTTGCATTTTATATTTAAGTCCAATAGATTCATTTGCAGCTTTTGATAAGGATAAATTGCTACGTCTTGCTCAGTTCTATCCTTTGGACTTCAATAGTGAAGAACTTTTATTACTTAAACCTCAACTTGATAAATTTCTTTTGCTTTTGAGAATAGACGAAGCTTTTTTAATCTCAATAGCATATTTTGTGTAGCTCAGAAGTTGGTTAAAACTAGAAGCGCCTATTATTTTCCATTGGTTTATAGGCTGCTCACCTTGGCTTTGATATTACTTGTGGCAACTGCAAGTGTTGAAAGAGTATTTTCTGCTATGAATCTAATCAAGAATGACTTGCGCAACTAAATGGGAGATGACTGGTTGAATGACAATTTGGTGGTTTACATGGAGAAAGCTATTTTTAAAAAACTTGAGAATGAGGAAATATTGCAACGTTTTCAAATCATGAGATCCCGTAGAATGCAGTTGTCTAAGTTTACAGTTACAAAGTAATTGAGTAAGGTTGTATCGTATTCTTTTTACTATTTTGGGTTGTATTGAAGTATATTTTCATCTGTATACGATTTTGACGTTTTAGTTCATTTACATATATATTGAATAACTTTTAATATTATATAACCAAATTTTATTAAACGATCGAATTATTATAATTGTCGACGGTCAACGATCAACGGTCAACACGCCCTAGCTGGACTTCGATCCTGGATTCACCAATGTAATTAGTATAGAGACTATATATAAAATGACTATTGTTGCTTTATAACGATAGTATAGATATGAGAGAATGTATTTTATCAGTGTATATTTCCTTCTCACAAGGGACAATCTAATGCATTCCCACATCTTAATTATGCACAAAACTTTCATCTTCTGGTTGCAAATTATAAGATTTGAGTCAACGCAATTAAACACCAATCAATGAACTAATCACATCTTAAATTAGGGAGATGCCCTATTTTGATTGTCTATGTTTGAGAAATAAATAGTAAAATTCATTTCTTTGTTTGTGTTAATCAATATACTAGTCACTATCACATGCGTTGCACGAATTTTGTATTTATTGTATTTTTATTAACGTATGAATTTTAGTTTTTTGAAAAGTTTTTGAAGTAATATCTAGAAATATTTTCATGATATAAGAAAAGGATTGCAAATTATTTTTACAATTGTAACAGTATTGTATTATCTAGAAAAAATATATTTGTATATTTCATACTTGAAGAAAAAATATACGAGGTTATACAAACTATTTTGCATGTATTCTTTGATAGTGTTGATATGATTGAGTTGAATGTGAAGATTATATTTATAAATTTTGTGTAATTCAATATTGGAAAATTAAAGATTGAGCACAAAATTATAAATCGACTTGCATATTCATATGCGTTTTATATTTTGTCCTTCATATATTTTAATATTCATTTTATGCTTATGTTGAAAAAATAAAAATCTGAAATTTTTTTCTGACATTCAGTTTGGTAAATGAATGTATGGTATACTGCATTTTCGGTATTTGTAAGTGCAAAAAGCGATATATACGGTAAGCTACAAATACAGTAAATTGTCTGCATATACGATAAGTTGCAAATAGGTAACAACATATACGGTATTGAAATTTATTGTAGTGGACGAAATCGGATTCATTCATACCGTATATGCACTTTACATACCGTTTATGTAACATACCGTGTTTACGCATACTGTATTTGCAGCTTATCGTATATGCAACATACCGTATTTACAATGTATCGTATTTGCATCATGCCGTATTTACAGCATATCGTATTTGCATCATACCGTATATGCAGCACACCGTATATACAGCACACCGTATTTACAGCATACCATATTTGTACACATTGTCTTTAGATACCCTATTTAGTAGATATTGGTTTTTGTACATACCGTATATGCACTTTACATATTGTATATGCAACATACCGTATTTGCAACTTACCATATATGTAGCAAACCGTATTTATAGCATACCGTATTTGCATCATACCGTATATACAACATACCGTATTTGTATCATATCATATTTACAGCATACCGTATATGCACATATTGTCTTTAGATACTGTATTTGATAGATATTGATTTTAGTAATTCAATATTGTTTTCTTTTTTATAATTGTATTTTAAGGAATTTAAAAAAAAGGGTGATTATGAAATTGCTAATTTTTAAATGTGTTTTTTTGTTGAAGATAAAAAAAGATTTTTTTATGCTATTTGTAAAAAAAACAAAAAAAAAATTATTGTAAATTTATTAGCCCTCTTTTACTGAAACTTAATTACAAAAATCTACCAAAACTAAATGTCTACATTAACTTTTCTAGTAGCTTTGAAAATTATTGAAGAAATCTAAACTATATTTGTTGAGTTTCTTTAAAGAGTTTGGAGAAACACCTCCAAACTCTTTGGAGAGTTTCTCTCCAAACTCTACGCATTGTGCAGAGAGATTGATGTCGTCACACAATTCAGAGAGATCAATTGATTTCTTCGCACAGTGCGAGAGATTTTCTTTTTTTTTTCTTTTTTTGTTAAGTTATTTTATTTGTTTCTTATCAAATGCAAGCTAAAAAAATAAAATAGTTTAAATTTAAGAAAACCAAAAAGAACAAAAAGAAAGAGAAACGCGGAAAAAAAAATCTAGCTCTGGAGAGTTTGAAGATAACTCGACATTGGTGAAAAATATGGTAATATGAAAAAATAAAAAGTCAAATAAAAAAAATGAAGAATAAACAAAAAAAAAAAGTTTCTCCAAACTCTTTGGAGAGTTTCTCCGGAGAGCTATTCAAACTCAACTCTCTAGAGAGTTTGGAGAAACTCTCAACTCTCTCCACACAGTGCGGAGTTGTCCGTAACTCCGTACACTTTGTGTGGAGTAACTCCGCATTTTTGTTGGAATACGAAGAAAAGTATTACTCTAGTGTGATCTTTGATGTTAATATGGTGAATTCATTTTTGTTGGAATACCGAACATTTAATTTTGCTAAATTTATTGTGAATGCTTAAAAAATTAAAAAAACTACTCCGCACTCTACGGAGTAACTCCGCATTTCATGGGAGTAAAGTGCGGAGTTACTCCAAACACTCCCCACAGAGTGTACGGAATTACAAACAACTCCGTACTGTGCGGAGTTGCTTCGCACTTTGGTCACTCACCACAGTGCAGAGCAACTCCACACTGTGCGAAGAGATATTTTTTTTTTTTTTGTTAAGCTATTTTTTTGTTTGTTTATTATGTAGGAATGTATACATATATATTATATATCAAAGGTAAACTAAAAAAAATAAAAAAATCAAATAGTTTGAATTTAAGAAAATCAAAGAGAATAAAAAAGAAAGAGAAATGGAGAAAAAATCGTAGCTCAGTGCATGCGCAGCATCCGAAGAGTTTGAAGATACCTCGACATTGGTAAAAAACTATGATAATCTAAAAAAATAAAAAACCAAATAGATAAAACGAAAAATAAAAAATAACAAGAGCGTAGAGTTTGGAGAGTTTCTCCGTAGAGTTTGGAGAAACACCTCTAAACTCTCCGCACTATGCGGAGAGAGTTGATCTCTCCGCACAGTTCGGAGAGATCAATTGATTTCGTCGCATAGTGCGGAGAGATTTTCTTTTTCTTTTTTTTGTTAAGCTATTTTATGTGTTTCTTATATAGGAATGTTTACATATATATTATATATCAAAAGTAAACTAAAAAAATAAAAAATCAAATTGTTTAAATTTAAGAAAATCAAAGAGAATAAAAAGAAAGAGAAATGTGGGAAAAAAAATCTAGCTCCGTAGAGTTTGGAGATAACTCGACATTGGTGAAAAAACATGTAATATGAAAAAATAAAAAAACTAAATAGGAAAAAATGAAGAATAAAAAAAAAAAGTTTCTCCAGAGAGTTTGGAGTAAACTCTTCAGAGAGTTTGGAGAAACTCTCCGCACTGTGCGGAGATAGTTGATTTCTCCGCACATTCTAATCTCTCCGCACAGTGTGGAGTTGCTCCGCACTTTTGTGCGACTCCACGCACTTTGTGGGAGCAACTCCGCACAGTGTGAAGCAATTTTTATTTTTTTTAAGGATCCAAAATAAAATTAGCAAAACTAAATCTTTGGTATTCCAACAAAAATGAATTCATCAAATTAACATCAAAGATCACTAAAACAATACTTTCTTGGTATTCCAACAAAAATGAATTTACCAAATTAACGTCAATTTACCCAACTAAGATCAGGCAATACTTTCTAGGAAAATAATTAATTATACAGCCTAAACAAGAAGGTGAAAAGGAAAATATGCATTTTTTTTATACAATTTGGAACAAAATCTAAATCAATTCCATAAAAAAAATACGAAGAAAACACTACTAACCATTACAAACAGCAAAATTTTTTCGAGAAGAAAGAGGAGTAGAAAGAGATATTTAAATTCATACATCTCTTCAACTGCATAAATCAATCAATAGAAATTATTGTACCTGAAAATAAGGAGTATGGTTGCCTAATATGGTCACCGAAAATAAGGAGTAAAAATCGGGATGGACGTGAGCTAAAGAAGAGAAAGAAAGAAGGAAAAAAGAACTTCAATAGTGAAAAGTAGGAAAAATATATAAACAAAAAATGACGTCATTTTCTTCTCTCTTGTAAAGTAAATTAGAATTCATTTACTGTTTCATCAACAGTGACAACTCATTGAGCTTTTTAATAGAAGTTATATATATATATATATATATATATATATAGCCTCTATATTTTTAAATCATTTTTTTCTCAAATACATTTTTAACTGTATATTTCATAAAATTCACAAATTTTATTAATTTTTAAGCCCCTTTGAGTTGTCCATAGGGCTACAACTTTTAATGCCCCCACACCATTGCGACAGGAGGAGACTTGCCCATTAGCGTAATTTGACAAGACGTGGCGAGAGCTTAACGACCTAGCCCATGTCTCCAAGCATATCCTTACTAAATGATATATTTGAAATGTATTTTCTATTCCCAAAAAAGATATAATGTGAGTTGAATTATTTTATTAATTTTTTATGAGCCCCTTTGAGTTGTCCACGAGGCTACAACCTTTGATGCCCCACACCATTGCGATAGAAACGACCTGCCCATTAGCCTAATTTGACAAGGCGTGACAAGAGTGTAACGACCTAGCCCATATCTCCAAACGCATGCTTACTAATTGATGTATTTTCTTTAAAATCCCAAAAAAAATATGATGTGAGTTCAGTTGAAAAAGTCAAATTTATTCACATCTGAAATTCAATCTTAAAAATACAAATACTTCGTTATTTTTTACTACCCAAAACAACACATTCACAATCAAGAAATCTTTGATTCGTCTTTTCAGGTTTATCATATAAAATATGTAAGAAACAATATCCAACAAAGCAATTTGAAACAATCTAAGCTAAACTTATATGGTTTTTGAATAAATTATCAACTTCATTTAGAAATTGGAACATAATTTAGAAACATGGGACATGATAATAGGCACTGGGGGCAAAATCATAATGAATCATGTGAAAAACATGCAATGATGCCGCTGCAGCATGAGAGCTTGTCCAATTCAATAAATTCTTAATTAAAATCTCTAATTATCACACTAATCACTCCTTAATGTACTCTATTCACCCAACTGTTAACCACGCTCGGTGAAGCGCGTGTTGTTGGTGTTGTACTGTTCCTCTTACGATATACACATGCATTCAGAGCCTTGTCTCCCACATACACTCAGCCCGTCAGCCGGATTATTTTCTCTAACGAGTCATATCGTGTAATTATCGTATCACGATAAATTGGTGAAGTATTTTTACATTCTAGCCCTTATTTTTCCTTTATGGAGCCGGCTCTTCTTCACTTGAGAATTTCATTTTAAATTATCATTTTTTACTTTAATTTATTTTGTACAGAAAATGTCAAAAATAATAAGCAAATTATAAGTCCATGTTTTATGGTCATTATCTAAGAAAAATAATGTTTTGAATAACGAATTTTTAAAGAATGTGTAATTTAAAAGTAATCAAAAGTTTTTAGTTTACATGTAAATATTTTATTGAAAATGAGTATGTAGAAAAAGAATTTTGAATTAAAGACCATCTAGCAAGGGCTAAAAGAGATGTGCCAATTTTCAATTCTATGTTAATTTGCGAAGAATGTCATCAGCTTGCACACTGAAACTTGTTAGTTTACACATAATATCAAGAATTTATTGCAAAAACTATGTAAATCTAATGATTAGCGACGTTAGCAAAGTTTTTAAGTTGGACTTACAAAACTAAACTACTATCACCGTTGAGAACTAAAGAAAACGTTTTGGGATTCAGCCAATTATCTTGATTGTGGAATATCATTGAAAGCGAAGTGAAAGCAAGCAAGAATGTCGATTTGAGTAACGCATACAACTATCTCTTAAAGTTCATTTCAATTTAAAAAGTAAGGTCAATTATTCAATTAAGATGTCATCGACCATAATTTGGTCAATGTTTGAGTTTTACCCCCAAAATAATTCCTAAAAGCCATGTAATATTAGTCTCTCTCGAATTCATGTTAAATGTCAATACGTAACTAACTAATAAGAAGACAATAATTGTACTAACTCAATTGATTAGTTTGACAGTATACCAAAGGCCCTCCCATTTCCGGTTGGGAATCCTATGTTACTAACCGTGAATTTAATTGCTATCCCACTTATTAATATGCAATTAGGAACATAGAGATGCCCAACTTTCTGATTAAGGCTAAAAATTATTTCTAGTATGAAATATGTGTTGATTTCTTCGCATAATTGAGGGAGGGCCCTTAAAGAAATCATAAGGGTCACAATGTACCAAATATATAGGGCATGGACCATTTCTAATTTAATGGTTTATTTATTGCATTGCAATTAGCATTTACTTTGACAGCCACTAGCCTCTTCTTTGTAGAGCCAATTAGAATTTTCTTTATGACAATTTAAATAGAGAAATCGAATATTCAGTCGGCAAGTGTCTTACTATTTCATTCTTAACTTATATATTTTAATTGTTAAATCTCCACCCATGCAAGCATGTTCGCGAAGTGTTCATAAATAAATAAAAAAATGAGTGGCGAGTAAATGGATTCACCAAATGTGTATTGTTATTATTTGGAATCAAAATTTAAACGGCTATAATTAGTCAAAGTTGAGTTTAGTAGTAGTTAATAAGTAATTATAATACTTTGTATAATTGACAAAAGACGTGTTTCCACAAGCAATTAGATATTTATTTTAAAACAATTTATTTGACTTAATTGAACCATATAATTCTTTAAAATGTGTTTCGAGTATTAGGAAGTTGTCATTCAACAGAAATCATGTGAAAGATTGAGTCTTTAAAACTACTTATTTGACTTAATTGTCCCACATACTTTTCTATAAGTATTTTGAGTATCTGCCTTTCGAGCTATGGTATGAGGGATTATCTCGTTAGAAAATTTTCGAAATAATTTCGATTTTTAATACTTTTCAAAAGGGTTGGTAAAAGTAATGAAAACATTCGATATAGGTTCATCCATTAAACTTTTTTATACTATATCATTATAGAAGATATGGCATAGTTCTCAAGTATAGATATTTTTAGCCATTGATATTTGGATGATCTACGTGGATGCACAATGTAAACAACGTGATGACTTTACTATATTCGGAAGCATATTTGTGTCCCAAATGCATTCGATTGGTGGGGACAAATAACATTAAAGAAAAGTGTAGACATGTGCCTTCAAGTCGAGTTCTTAAATTTTTTGAGATTGTTCGGAATTGCTCGAGTATCTAAAATATTCTTCTTCTTCTTCTACTCCGGTCTTGTAGTCTCGAAAACTTTCACGGTGTTACTTGGAGTCGAACATATTACACAAGTATTTCTTACATAAAAGAATGGCTTAACATAACAAAAAGAATGTAATGAATGGAAAAACAGGAATTTTACGTGGACTCGTATATTAATGCATCGAATTCATAGATTTATCTAGTTTTTATAGTTTGATATTATTGTGAAATATTTAAATGTACTCAATTTTTAATGAGAAGCATGCAACTTATAAACAAATTTCACAAATCATGACAAACTTTATTTAAACTAATTTTACTAGATTTGATAAATCATCACAACTTTTATTTAACCTACTTTTAAGACATTGATTTAACTTAACAAAATAAATTAATAAAGAAAAGAAATTTAATTATCTTTTTCACCAAATTCCACCATCACCATCGCTACCTCGACATTGCAGTGACATCTACTACCACACCATCTAAATCGGGGAATTTCTCCTCCCGATTTACCGGCAATTCAACGGGGATAAATCCTCTTTGAATTCGCTGATAACATGGGAAATTTAGAGAAAATCCGCCGGTTCGTCGATCAAAGGAGGATTCTCTCACTGAATCAACTAGTAGTGTTTTGTGTTGATATCTTTCCTTACAAACAAGAGGTGACGTGCTGAGCCATAAAAATTTAGGGTAGAACAGATAAAGAGATGAGTATTCTGGACAAATTAATGATCTCAACTTAAACTCCATTTGGCCTAGTTTATAAATGATTTACAAATGATTAAGCCGATGTTTGACATTTTTTATTTCATAACTTTTTTTTTTCATACTCATTCTTAACTACACATTCAAATAATAAAATATTCTGCATATAAATTCAAAATTTTTCCCTACTTTTTAATTACAACTTATCCAAAAATTCACTATTCAAAACTTTATTTTTGCCAATTAATAGCCGTCAAACAGGGACTCAACTTTCTTTTTAATCCTACATTCTAATGAATCCCCAAGTAACATTAACGTATTCACCACACATTTCCACTTTTATTCATAAATTCTTCCCAAATCAAGGCTAAGCCCCTATTTGATTTGGATAAAAGATAAAAAAAAAAAAATTAAGCCCTTGTTTGAGCCCCATTATTTTCATCAAAATACATTTTTCAACAGTTATTTGATCCCATTTTAATTACACATTTTTCATTAAAATAATATTTCACTTAAATTCAAAACGTTTCTTTATTTTTCAATCACGCATTTTTCATCAATACACTATTCAAAATATATTTTTGGGGCAAGAATGGGGCTCAAATAAGGGCTAAATTTTTATTGGATTTTGACAAAAAAAAATGATGAAATATATGATTAAAAAATTAATAAAATTTTTGGATCCTATGCAACATTTAGTTACAAATAAATGAGTTCTAAAAATTGGAGTCAAATAGGGAATTAATGTAAATTATCTGATGATTAGATATTTTAGCGGAAAAAAAAAAGAAAGTTTTTGGCACTGAAATAAATGTGGTGAGATAATAGTTGAAAAGATATGAAGAGAAATAAAACATTTGTAGATGGTCCCCCATTTATCAACCACGTGCATAAGTTACATCAAAGTGAGTTGAGATTCAGAAAATTAGAAAAGCTGCTTATTTTTCATTAAACAAATTATAAGTACTAATCGCTAACATATATACCCATATGGATGCGTGTAAATATAGTGTGAGAGAGACATATTTTGGGAGAGAGATCATGAGAGTTTGTGTGCATTGGATCCTTCACCAATTAATACTACTGTTTGAAAACCTCCTCTCATCATAACTACCATTTCTCCTCCTCTCTCTACTTTATGCTTCTAAAGAGAAAACCTCCAAAAAAAATTCAGCGAAAATAATCAATTAAAGAAAAAGAAAAGATGGTGATCTGATTATTACATTTCATGTAGGATTTCTCTAACAACCCATCATTTCCTCTTCTTGACACCCCCAAACCCCCACCCCACCCCTTCATTTCATGTGCCAGATGTTGAGCAGTTTTCATACTTGAGGATGTCAAGTACAAAGTTTGTCCTCATCAAAGAAGAGCAAAAGGAGATTAAATTCGATATTCTTTCAAAATCTAAGGTCGAAGATCCATGTTCTACACATGATAATGTAACAAAACAAGAAGATGATGATGCTGATCATAAAGAGGAAGAAATTGAGGTAATATATTCTGCAAGAGAATCTGAAAAGCCATGTTTAGCACAGTCCGAGGTAGGAGAATACGATGAAGGGTTCAAAACTCCAACGTCTTTGGATAACAAAATCCCTGTGGTTACGCAGTGCCCGGCAGCACCAAGAAAAACCAGACCATCAACAAAAAGAAAACCATCGCCAGCAGGAATCTGTAGGAGCCTCCAGCTCGATGTGTCGGCCGAGATCGAATCAATGTTCCCTTCAAGGCCTCGAGATGATAATGAACACAAAATCAAGAAAGCTCGAAGAGATGACGCTGAATAAATGTTTGTCACCTACACCTAGAGCCTAGAACTACCTCTCTATATAGTAAGAAAATTTATTGTAAAAATTATGGGGTTCTTTATCGTAATGCTGATGGTGTTCTTCATTATGTTGAACATATAAACGTATTTTTATTGAAATAGAAAATCATTAAATCTAGTTTTCTTGTGGTTATATCTGGAAATTCTCGATGTTGGATTAATGTTTTAATGCATTTTAATTGATGCAAAGATAGATTATTTAAAAATATTGGAGACGTTAGGGTAGCTACTAGCCAGTAAAGTCGATGGACAAAATGAGAGAAAGAGATACGATTTGGAGTTTCGCTTTCTTTTTTCGTTGGTCCTAATTCTTAGGTCACTTTCCTTATTAAAAGTATAGATATTTTTTAGTATTTTAGTGTGCTCATATTTAATGTAACTTGTTATCAAATATAAAATAATCCTTTATAAACATTATTTAACATAGGGGGTAGATTAGGAAAGATGTAAGAAAAATTTATATTTTAATTATATTAATTATATTTTTTAATCAATGTGAAAATAGAAACAAGACTATTTTTATGGGAAGAATGTAATATTATACATAGGTTGCTCTTTAATAAAAGATGAGAAAAAATTTATTTTCTTCAAAAAAAAAATACAAAAAACAAAAAACAAAACACTGCCTTCTTTAGTCCATTCATTTGTTTTATATTTTAGGTTTTTTAGCAGTTCCGAATAGAGCCATGGATTGCCGAAAACATAAACAAATTAATGTATGTTGAGTAAGTTGAATTGTGAGTGCTTGGTGAAGAAGTTAAAATTTTGTTCAATGCACCGTCTAGTATTGTCTAGCATGCATACGTTACGGGATTGTGTATCAGCCTTGTAAAGTTCATTTTTTGTGGTATATATTATAGCCTATAGGTTGAGGGAATAAAAAGTTGCACATGATCATGCTTCATGCTGGAATTATTTTTCTTTTTTTCTTTTTTTGAAAGAAACTACAATGTTCCATTGATTGTAGATTCTCTTAGAATTTAAGCTGGATCTGATGCAAGAAAGAGTGCCCAAAATGGACAAACCTGAAGCAGATTATATGGGACATGACTGTGCAACAAAAGAATGCACAGCAAGTATTAAAAGGGTGAAAGCCCAGAATCGATTTGTTACTTTCACTCTTTCAGTCATTTATGGCTTGCCATTAAACAACGTACAAAAGTTCTCTGCATTGGAAAATACATCCCAATCAAACAGAAAGAAAAATTGGAAATGCCACATTCATTTTACATCTCTCTTTGTTTCAAAGACAAGTAGGGAAAGGAAATGAAAGAAAATAAATACAGGAATTAAAAAATGAAAGGAAAATGAAACAGCGCTAATGGGGGGTGGACTAGGTGGTGTCGTCTTTAGTTCTTTTGGAGGAAAAAGACAATGCAAGGGAGAATGTTATTAAGTGCTTGTTTGCCAGCCAAAATGCATTTTGGAATAGTATTTTGTTGGAGAATGTGTGATTAGAAAATAAAATAAAAATCAGGTTTGCGTGTAACATTATTTTATAGGAGAACGTACGATTGAAAATGAGTTTTGAAAAAAAAAAATGGAGGCCAAACATAGGCTAAGGTGAAAGGCAGGTTATTACAATCATTGTGGCTATAACACATGATCCAAAATCCATCAAGTCAACCATAAATCATATGTTAGAGTTAGAAATGGCTGTCACATATACGGAGCTTGTCTTGTCGAGTCCCAACCCCAGTGCCACCTTCATGAGTTCCCAACACCGTCCACATACCAGATGCCGGGCCCTATACATTGTCCTCGGCTACACCGATTGACCGTCGAGGAGCCTCATTTAGATATGTCTATTTGTATACAAAAGAACACGATACAACTATAAAGGGATCAACTCAATATTTACATGTCTAGCATGAATAATATGTTGTGTGAGTATAATCATGCTCGATATCTTCATTACAATGTACAAATAAATCTCATAATAGTATCACGGAATATCATAGACAATTAAACAGGATAATGCTTTGTATTGGAGTAGGAATTATTGATATTTACCTCAAATTATTATATTTTGAAAAATATATGCATTGTTCAAGTAGTCACAAGTTAGTAATGATCATACCACTTAAAGGGGTCGGATTAGAGGTCAATTGGGGCTTAACGTATAGAAAAGGGGATTTTTGGGCATCAATGGGCACCTCGGGTTTTTCACTCTCAGTGGGGCCCGCATCATGTGGAGCAACTTACACAAGGGCCTGTGTGACTTTCGAATTAAAAATTAAAAGGGGTCCCCTGTTTATATGGGCGAAGCTATCGGAGTATATGTAATTATAGAATTTTAATAAAATAATGTGTTCCTCATCATGTCGCTTGATGAAATCTTGTAAGCCCCAATTAATCATCATTATCCATATTGATATGAATTCAGCGATTTTTCTTATTCATATTGAGCAGTAAGTGCACAATAATTGTACAGTTAAGTTTCACTTTCAGCGCCTTAAATTTTCATTTTCGAAAGTAGCATCAAACCCCTAAACTTTATTAAAATCATTAAAAGTCTTTCAAGGAAAAAATTCCTAAAAAATCCAGGAACGTTACATGATAAGAATCACGACCTAGCCTCGATGACTAATTGAGTCACCTTTACTAATAACCGGCTCGTCTACTATAATAGAAGGATTGTGAGCTATTCGTGATGTGAGAAGACTAGCTGACCCACCCTAAATCACGAGCCATCCATGAGGTGTGAAGACTTAAGCTCACATTCGATAATAAGAAAATCACGAGCTGCCGTGACGTGTGACAGCTTAAGGGCTCATCGTCAATGAAATCAGGCGCAAGATGTATACTGAAATATATACCGACTCTTGCTCGGGCTGCTGCACTGACTTGTGTACTTCTTTGACATTATTATACCAATACCTACCCCAGAAGAAGACTGCTTACCAATACCATGATTGTGATTGCTCTATCCTTAATTTTGTCTATAAACATATCGGTAATTAAATGAATTTTCCAAATTATCCTTGTTTTTTATCGTTAATTTCAGCAAAGAAGAAGGGTTTAGGGCCTACGGAAGCACCTATGGACTCCCAACTCCAAAACCTGCAGAAAACACACTATACTTGTCTCAATATGTTTATAAAATGTTGAACAAGAAATGGACATCACCAGTGGGTAAACTGCTTGAAATTGAATGTTGATCTCTATGTTGCGGCTAACGATAGTCTAGTTCCTAATGACGATTTCTGTCCTTCAAAATCCATGGTGAGAGCATAATATATTTATTTGTCTCTCGTATTTTTAAATTTAAAAAAAAAAAAAAATATATATATATATATATATACACACACACACACGAGAAGAACGCGTGCATGGTGAAAAAAATAAGAAGGAAATTTGGGAATAGGAATGACATTGCACCTATGAACCTGTAGAATTGAGGAATTTGGTATTTCAAAGACGAAGATATCGTGACTTTTAATAAATTAAGCAGAGGCCTTTCGGATCATAAATATTGTGGCAAGGTCTTTTTCAAGAATTATGTTTGACTTGATATAAATGCAAATGTGTTGAGTATCAATATATAATTGGCATTCATGCGTAATTAATTGATAAATCAACTTAAAAATAGGAACGTGATTCCCATTTAAGATGACTCGTGAATTAAAGACATGACTACATCATTGGTGCTAAGTAGCAGTATGCAAGGAAATGACAGTTGACATGGCTGTACTCTCACCTAATAAAAGTCATTTGGCACTTCACAACCCCCCATCATTACCATCCAAGGCATTCAGGGAAAGAAAGCAATGGCTGAACAGGTACTTATCTATCCTACCTTGCAACCCCTGAACTCCCACACACACGCACTCTACTGTCTACACAAAAACCACTCCGGTCACTGCCGTCCGAGCATATAGGCTATGTGAACAAGATTTCAACTCTTCTTTTTGTGGTGTGCAATATTGTTCAGTCGACGTTACCAAACATGACACGAGGATATGTGGAGTAGTTTTGAAAACTTAGTGATAATCAATGTAATAATCTGAGTTTATCGAATGATTTTCTTGATTTTGAAGGAAGAAGAGTGGCCTTTGGGGCTGCAACGTTTGGTGAGAAATCGTGATCTCAATTGCTTGCTCTCCTTCGACTCTTTGTTCACTTCTGCTCCCAACTCTTCCACTGATTCTTCTTCTGATATCGATAATGAGGTCAGTCTATATAACCAAAACTTTTAATATGAAAACTTTTTATATGGCTCTTGGAATTTGTAATTTATAGTGAGTTTGTGTAGGAGTATTCACCAAAAAGTCTGGGTTTCAATCTACAAATAGCAAAGAAAATTTGAAATACTGGTTTTGCACTTTCTTGTTTGTTGGATAGTGTGGAATTTAATTATACTGCGCCATTCTATTTCGAATTCAAGGCTATTTTAGGCATTCTTTAAAAGATCAAGCTATTCCTAATGTAGGTGAGAGTACAACATTGTATTTATTTATTTCTTGGTTAATCACTATAAATTTGTACGTCTGTATATCTTTCGTTTTGATCTCCATTAGGGCTTAATCCCCAACACTATCCATAAGCACAGCCCCTTTTTCAATTCCAAGATTGGCACTTAAATTTTGTCAACTAACTCTTGCTAACAAATCTATATAATTAAGATTAAAGGTAACATATATCTATAAAATTAGTGGCTACATGTTCATGTTAGTCTCGTGTCTTTGTCAGATTGGGACATGCTTACTTAAAGTTGAAAGGCATGAAAGCACTTTACCCTTTTCACATGGCTTTAAATGATTTTGTTTCTCGTTGTCCAGCTTTAATGGGGCATGTTGAGCGACATTCTCCCAACTCAATTACCAACTAGATTTGTCAAAATGCGTTAGATACTAGAATCAAATGGCTATAAGAGTCTCAACCAATTCAAGAGTGTGAGGCAGTGTGCCGTGTCCAAAACCGGGTCGTGCCGGTCCAGCTTGATATGCTTTACTACCCTCTTCCTCAACGAAAGAACAAAGAAATAAAAAAGAAAAGACACTGGTCTTATGATAATGTACTAAATACTTTAAGTGAACTGATTAAATCCAGTTCTAGAGCTCTGTGGCCCCAAAATATTTGCTAAACGTAACTCAGCAGTCTTGGCTAATCAAGAATTCCCCTTTACTTGGTAAAAGGTTGCTATATCACAAGTACTTCTAAGTTAATGATACTATGTAGACTGTGAAGCAAAAATAAAAAAATAAAAAAATCCACATGCTAATTACTATCCCTTTTGAGGGATAGATTTGCATAGCTTTCTCCTTGTCGTGTTAATGATCATTCTCTGTTTTCAGTCCACCGGTTCTTTCTTCCACGACAAAGATATCACGTTTGGGAGCCTTATCAGTGTTTCGAGCAATGTAGAGCACTCGAGAAGATCGATGAGGGGAAGAATAGTAGAACCTACAAGGAACAAGAAGAGTTGCAAATACAAGAGTTGGTTTTTATCCCTATGCTCGAAGTTGAGCAGTGATTCTGTGTGCATGAACAATACCCCGTCTCTAGGTCAATTTCTTGAAGTCGAAAGGAGAACTACCAGCTTTTACAGGAGAAATCCGAGCTTGTGATGGAAGATTAGAAAGTACTAGACGATATTAAAAAAGAAAAATAAGTTAACTCTTGTTTATTATATCATTTAGACCAACCAATATTCTATGTTAAACATGCTAGGGATGATTTTTCTCATGCTTGAGACCCGTATTCGTTATTTGTAGTCATCAAACTATTTGTGCTCCTTTCTATTCCATATGATTTCAATTTCTTACATAGATGAATTTGCATTGCAATGCTCACTTGTACCTTTCACCTTAGTATATTCCGATCAACTCAAAGATCAAGAAATTTTATTCTATTTGTATGGCAATCCCTATGAGACAAGTTTCGAATATGCTAGAATAAATCAAGACGCAAGCTAGATAAAATTAGAGTGCCTTGATGAATTCATTGTATTCCCACTAGGAAATTATGGTTCTTGTAGTTATATTCCTACAAATGGGACATTTATCCAAATTTATATGTGATCAAAAAAATTTCACATAGCAATCGAATGAAGATGTATTAAATTGAATTAGAAAGTAAGATAAACAAGATTAGCTTATTTTTCTTCCTTAAAACTCCAGGACCATCCTCCACGCCAAAAATGTCATATGCATATATCTGATACGAACATGTCTAATACGTTTTGTTGGACAACACTGTCCGTTACAAGATAGAAGATTTTGAGTTCTTTTTTCTTTAATCCTACCAAATATGTCATTTGTAAAATGGACACCACATATAATAAATATTTATTTATCATCTTTCTCAAAGAAGAGTTGGATAGATTACAATAACAAAATCCAACTAGGTGATTACACTTCAGATCATTTCAGCTTTTAATGATAAACTTCTTCGCTGCTCTTCGATTCAGCAAGATGAGTTCGAAGATATCTTGCAACAATGTGGCAAAGCATTAATCAATCTACACCAACACTTCCTGCTTATCAAACCCCTCATTGCATTCAGCAGCAACCCTCCCCAAACCACGGCCCAATCTCCCAAGTGAAGTCAATGGTGACAAACTCTTGAAGCTGCTGCCCTCGTCAAGATTTAGTGACTTTCTTGTGCTTTTTGGTTTCATCGGGATAGATTCCAACTCCACCTCACTGTTGGTTTTGCTCTTGGCAACAGCTAGCTGGGTAATGGGAATTCGACAAAAGGGGCAGACTGGAACCTTCGAACAATTTATTCCAAGATTGGGTTTGTTGTAGCAGCACAAAGCCAGAATGCAATGAGCACACATCTCGTGCCCACATTTTTGAACCTCAATTGTTGAGACCCGTTCAAAGCAGATGCAGCATAGCTCGACATCGCAAGCCTGTTTAACATGGAAAATTTCCCATTTCATCTTTAGGAGAGCATTTTATGACAGAAGATTAGGTGGTCATGTGTCATTGGTTATAGGATGAAAATCTGCAAGGGTGTATAACTAAATCTCCTCTCTTTCTCGCAGTTGATTATATTACTGAACTCATTATGTCTCTATATTTAAAAAATTTCACCATAGAAATAAAAGAGATTTTACAATGTTTTGACCATAAGCAAACTTCCGCTTTAAATCTATGTGGTAAGCTATTCCTCACAAGCTTTCTCATGCAATCAGAGTATGAATTGACACACGGAAATAAGTAGCAAAATTAGGTACCTCAATGTCATCGTCCATGCAACTGAAATTTGAGGGTGGCAAAAGAGTGTTGGATGTCTCCTTCAAGATTGCCTTTTCTCTCTCCTTGTTGGCCATAATTAGGGCTTTCTCTAATAAAGCTTTGGCTTCAGAATTCAGCTCGTTGATGAACTTCAAGCGTGATGGCCAGGTTAAAGGCTCTGGGGCTGATGGATTTAACAAAGCTGCACAGGCTTCATTCTTGTACTTAGTTGCCACCATGTAAGGTATTCTCCTGCAGAGATACGATACCGTAATCACAAAGTTCTTACAGGCAAACGCGATCAGCATTAATAGTATAAAGAATATAGTATCAATTATGGATTTAGTATTCAGAAATATACATGGCATAGAAGGAGTTGTAGGGGATTCGACATGAAATGAAATCTCCTACTAGTGCAAGCACAAGATTTATTTATGCTTTCCTCACTACTCAATCGAGAGCAGGATCGTCATGACTTTGGTGTTTCATAAGATATCACTCGACCTAACCTATTTTTAAAAGACTCTGTAGCTGCAGGGGAAATAATAATATTGAATTAGACATCTGATTGTGTGAGCTTCCATAGTTTGTAAAACTCCTTTTAAACTTAAGTACTTAACCGTACCACTTTATTGATCTTATAAAAGAAACCCATTAATATAATCATGAAATTTACGCAATGAAAAGCTGCAAACTGGTCTTCACAAGGGACATTACTGGAACATATTATGTTTTATGTTAAAAGTTTAAAGGAAATGCCATCAGCAAGTTCACGCTCGTAAATAGTTTCATTTGCTCACCCAGAGGAATCTCTCAGGAGACGATCAGCACCCCAAGCAAGCAATTCCCGGACACAGTCCAAAGAACCATTTCGAGCAGCCAAATGAAGAGGTGTACTCCCTGGGTGGCTGATGGCAGAAACTATCATTATAGCTCATAAATTGCAATAAAAATAAACTTCTTCAAAGTTTCAAGTTAAATGATTACCTATATCCAACACCACAAGCAGTAGCAGACACAAGAGCCCCACTGCTTAATAGAATACGAACACAATCTGCTTGCCCTTGACGGGCGGCCAAATGCAATGGGGTAGAGCCACTTCCATCTCTTATGTTAACAAATCTGGTAAATCCCCTGAGCTCCCATTGAAGCAGGAGAATTAGTAGGTTTTTTTTTTTTTTTGACAGATGTACATAGGCAGCAAAAACATCAAAGAAAAAGAGAGAAATAATCACCAAGAATGAGCAACCGGGGCTGAACGGGCAGCAGAAAGAATCAATTGCAGGCAATCTGAATAACCATTGTAAGCTGCATAATGCAAACAGGTTCTTCCGTGTAATGTATCGAATGTTAAAATCTGGAAGAAGAACACGAAGAACCGATCATGAAATTGTTGAAAAAAAAGAACCAATAATTACGATAAGGAAAAGAAACCAACAATATTTGAATAAAAAATTAAATACAAGGACAATACATTTGCTCCTGCTTGAATCAGCCTTTCAGCGCAGGAAATCTTGCCATGCATAGCAGCTAACATCAGTGGAGTCTAAGCGAATCAGAATTGACAAATATTTCAGTATCCCAAAAAATAATAATAATAATAATAATAAATAATAAATAAATCTGACTATAGCAAGCCATCTCATTCAGAAATAAACAATGATAAATAAAATTTCGCTTAAACAATAATCTGTCAACACCCACATTCACATAAACAGAGCACACCTGTTTGTGGCGATCTAGAATATCTGGATTTCCAATGCGATCCAGAAGCATAGAGAGAACCTAACACAATACAAACCCAGAAAATCAAAATTGAAACCATCTAAGTGAAAATGAATTATAACTTTATAAACAATGAATATGAGACAATAATATTAATCAAGAAAGATCACGAAAAACCCACTTGAAACCGCCCATTGGCGGCTGCCACATGAAGCGCAGAGAGCCTCTTATTAACAGATTTCAATGCCAACAAACTCGGATCCTCATCCGCCATTGCTTCAAGTGTTTCCATCTCTCCCTTTTGGACTGCAATGAACAGTTCATGTTCTTGGGATTCTCCGCAACTGAGCCCCTGCCCCATTCTCTTCAATGGAGACCCCCAAGAAACTGCTATTCGCGCGCCACCCACCACGGCTGAGGAGGCTGGGGCAGTGGAAATGGATGTGGCAATGGCTGCCCAACGAGGAGTGTAGAATTGGAGGGGCCGATGAGAAGGGCAATCTGAAGTTATGGAGTGGTCTCGGATTATGAACCTGCCCGCCAAGATTTCGGGCAGATGACTGTACTTGTTTGCTCGATTTTCGGGCAGACGACTGTACGTGTTTTTGCTCCATTTTCGGGCAAATGTCGGATTTTCTTTTCAGGGTAAATTCAAAGTTCGTTTCTTTTGTGCATGCATTTACATGCCAATAATATTTTGAATTGAAAAATTACTAGTGATTTAATGACTCATTTGGTAGGATTTTTATTTTTTGTGGAAGAATTTTACCTGAAAGGTCTTCTAATAAATAAATAAATAAATAGGCAGACGACTGTACGTGTTTTTGCTCCATTTTCGGGCAAATGTCGGATTTTCTTTTCAGGGTAAATTCAAAGTTCGTTTCTTTAGTGCATGCATTTACATGCCAATAATATTTTGAATTGAAAAATTACTAGTGATTTAATGACTCATTTGGTAGGATTTTTATTTTTTGTGGAAGAATTTTACCTGAAAGGTCTTCTAATAAATAAATAAATAAATAAAAAGCGCTTTCAAATTATTCAAATAAATTTAAAAAATTTCTTAATTTAAAAAACATTAACTTTTCAAAACTCAATCAAGACATGTCCTAAATGTCAAAATATCATTTTTTTTCCCCAAAAATAAAATAAAATACATGTTTGGTTTCGTTAAAAGTTATATTTTTAAGTAAATTTTGATAAGAATTGATAAAACGTGGGGTTAAAAGTTGATCAAATTTATGAATCTTATGAATGTGTTGTTAAAAATAAATTTGAAAAAAAAAAAGGAAATCAAACATGGACTAAATGTGAGAGTCATTCACTCATAGAGGCTTTGATTAAAGGTCAAAAGAAACGATTCTCTTTGATTTTTATAAAGCTCGATAGGCCCTACCTTGAAAAAAATTATAAAAAGAAAATGATCAAAAGAAACTACTTCTTTCCGTCTTTAAAGCAAAGCCAAAAACACTATGTTTTGCTAAGTTTTAAAATAAAAGGTCAAAAATGGGAGTATTTACAAATTTTCAACTTTGAACATTCCATTTGGATACAATTCATAAATTTCTTGGAAAATTAACTATTAATTTTAATATATTCATAACGATTATTCATTATTATTCAAACACTTCGTATGATATACTATTATTCTCTTTATATTTTGAGTTATAACTTATGGATGCTTAGTTAATATCATTCTAATTATTTTAAACGACAGTTTGTTGTTATTATTATTGTTGTTGTGGTTGTTATTATTATACAAAGGCATTTATCCTCATTATCATTTTTTGATAAAAAAAAAAAAAAAAAATATATATATATATATATAAATTAACTTCTCATTATGAATGTATCATGACCTTGGTAATATTGATTTGTTGATTCTATTTTGTATTCAGCAAAATCTTGTCATGTCCATTAGTCTCTTCCCTGATCAAATTCCACGAGAAAACTTCACCTAAAACTTGAATTGATCATCTCCTCCTATGCTAAAGTCTAAGGTTCCTTGTGGAGAGTTCCAAATTCCAATAGCAAAAAACTTCCTACATGCTTCGAACCAAACCATCTTTTTGTTTGTTACTTTCTTCCACCTTATCGGTCATCGATCGATGGTGCAAGACTTTTTCCTCCAAATACATTCAAAGCATAATCTCCCAATGCTTAGAAGTTTAGCCGCATGTGGGATATTGAGATGATTCGGCCTAACATTCGTATCTAGAAACTTAAGTTCATAGAGGACTAGTTCACTTAAAATTAAATAATTTTACAAAATTATAGATCAAATAGAAATTATTTTATAAATAAAATGCCACTTATTCAAATTATAAAGGATTAATAGATATATTGACAACTTTTAGTGCATATTGCATTTTTTTAGTTAACACGATAGAACAACTAGTTGCAGTAGTAAAAGGTTTAAACAGTTTGATTCTTTCAGTAAAATTAGCACAAAATCGAGCATAACTAAAAAAGAAAAATTAATGTATGCAATCAATCTCGAAATGACTGAAACTAAACTTTCTTTGTTATTTCAATTTTAATTTTAATTATATAATTGTAAGAAATCTTAAAATAGTGAGAGATAATCAAAACAAAAATGAAATATTATAAATCATATAAACAAATGCTGATAACTCCAAGATTTTACTTGGCCCCTGTTTTATAAAGTTTTCTTGAGATTATAAGTCGATGGATCCCCTAAGTTAAAAATGGATAAAAGCTTTAGATTGAATGATATGCGCAGTTAAAATGAAGTTTGACCTATTTATGATCTTTAAAAGGCTTCGACAAATTGATAAATCAATAATAGAAAACTAATAAGGGCTCGAAGGAAGGATGTTAATTTTTGACATACTTTCTTTTTTCAAAAACTGAATGATTTAATTTGAAACCCTCCTTGAAAATATGAGTTCTTTTTTTTCTAATGATTTTTTAGTAATTTTTTGTATCTTTTTTAGTGGTACTTCTTGAGAAAAACAAAAAAACAGTTACTTTTAAATATGGCTAAACATATAGTGTCAAATATGTCGGATCAAGTCATCTTTAAAGTGACCAGATGCAGGATGCCTATGGTCTCAAGTACTCGACATGACCTGCATTTCTTGGCAAACCAACCTGATTAAAAAACATGTGGCTTGTCTGGACTATAGTTGTATTATTTTCAATTTTTCTTTCTTTTGTTAAGACAACTTTAAAAAATAAAAGTAAAAGGTAAAATGTTGTCTTTAGGCTCTGGCAATTTAGGCCAATGTAGGGATGTCAATTGGGTCGAGTCGACTTGCGGCTCATCGGTTCGGCTCGTGGCCTTGACAAGTCCGAACTCGAGCCGAGCGGGGGGTCGTGTCCAACGAGCCGAGCTCGCTTGGCTCGTCGAGCTCACAAGCCGAGCCCACGAGCCGGCTCGTCCAAAAAAGTGGAAAAAAATTAAAGTTTTATCAATAAAATTTGAAAAATTTGCAAAAATAAAAATTCACGAGCTCGTGGGCTCGGATCAGCTCGGCCCGGCCCACGTGCTCGTGGGCCGAGCTGAGCTCGCCCACAAAAAACTAGCCACGAGCCCTAGCCGAACTCGTGGGTTAACGAGCCTAGCCGGCTCGGCTCGGCCCACTGCCACCCCTAGACCAATGTCAAGCCTAATAGTCGATGGATAGTCCAGTCATTTGGACACTCCTAACTTAGTACCATCTAGCCCTTATCCTCTTGGTATTATACAATTTATAATTTGAAAGATCCAAGTTCTTGTGTTCATCGGAATGTCCATGTCCTAGCGTTTGGAGCGAAAATTAGTGATGGCTGTTGCGGTGGATGGATACTCCAATGGTTGGCAGATGTGTATGGGTGGCACTATCATGGCCGTGTTGTGATAAAATAGGTACTAAGTGATGCTATTTATCTCAATTAAACGATGATATCATTAAATAGTGTGTCATATTCATATAATTAATTGACTTTACTGATGATTAGACATAAATAATATTATTCAAACAGAAACTGCTAAGCAAAAAAGGCAGGTTGTTGAGAAAATTGACTATGTGAGTGGATTAATTTGGCTACTTAATTTGGGCTGCCCATCAAAGGCGTAAATTTTTAGCGGTATAATTGAATAACATTTAACCAACAATGTTGCATCCGAATTCAATTCCATTTGTGTGAGTTTTGGCCCTGTTTATAAATTTAGGTGAAAGTTATCAATGCATTTTAAAATTGAATTGGCTAGACAATATAAATGATTAAGGATTCGTTTGACATGACTTTTGAGAAATCAAAAAGTTGTTTTTGAACTTATTTGACTAATTTTATAAAAATACGTCTTCTAATTAAAAGAGCTTTCAAATGATGTTGGTCCAATGTGAGCAAGGCCGATTCTGGCCCAAGGCCGCTAAGGTACAAGGGGGTCTCAAAAATTTGAAAGCCCAAAATAATTATTATTTATGAATTTTTCTTTCATTAGATATTTCATGGCAATGCCATAAAGTAGAAGGTGTCCCCTACCAATAATGTCTTCTAATTTATTTATAGCTACGATAGAATTTTTTTATTTTTTAAATATAGGATATTTTGGATAATAAATACTAGTCACCACCCCATATCTTATTGATTTCCAAAAAAAACCTTTATATTCTATTTATTGAACATGAAAATTGATTCTCGGACAAATTAAACAGTGGGTGATACCATAAGTATAATGTTCCTGAGAAATTATTTGATTCGATCATATTTGATACTAATATGCTTGTAAAATAAAAAAAATAAAAAAATATGTGTGGGGATCATGATAATTTATTGTTTAGGATAAAAACACTTTCAAAATAGAATTTAAAAAAATATATATATTAGCTTAAAAAAATTAAGAAATCAAAGGAAGTTCTTATATAAGAAACAAAAGTCATATCAAACGGATTCTAACTAAAACTTGTGTGGCGTACAAAATTGTTGATTAAAGAAAAACTTGCTCGCTCAATCGTCGACGTCGAATAATCTAGTTAGTTTTATGAGAATAGTAAATCAATTTTTATATAAATGCTCACTTGTACCTGTAGATTTGGACCTCCAGTTTATGGGCCTTATCCTACTCACAAATTTGGACTGCAGAATCTGATTTTGGGGTGTTAAGTCACCCAGTGGGACTGCGAGTATAAAGGCCAAGTGGGTATTCTCGGCCCAAAGGATTAATTCATTTGTTTTGATTCTTTACCAGAATAAATTCATTTTTATTAAACGCACA